ACAGAGGACTCCAACAAGAAGACGCTGCTGCGAGAGAAAGGACCCGTCACTCCCCAAAAAGCCCCAACTAGGAAGACAGCTGACTTCTCAGCAGCAACCAGGGAGGCCACAGGGAGGTGGCCAGGGCACAGCTGTGAGGATGTGATAAACGTCATCTGAATTTCTCCTCAATTTAAGAAAGAAAGAAAGAAAAAAAACAGTGGTGTTCACAGTGAAGCAAGGTGATTGCTGGGCGTGACTCCTGGCTTGTACCTGTGAACGCTTTTCCAAGACAGACCTTGTGAGGAAACAGGGTGAAGGAAAGTTCCAAACCACATGTGCTGCACACAGCTGACACTTCTCTGAGTTCTGCAAACAGAACCTTCCAAGAAAACTTTGGCCTCCAGAAGGAAAGTCAGACATTAACAGGAGAAAAACAGCTTTTTGTGTGGTTAAGTTCCTGCTTGCTGGCACGCAGGGTGCTGGCTGATCATGTGGAAGGAAGAGGAGTCCATCTGCTCGGGACTCGGCTCACCCATGGTTTCCACGACTCCATGAGTTAAGTTTTCCTTTCTTTCACTGAACCAGAAAAACTGGAAAACAATAGCTTGCAAGTGTAGGGAGAGCTGATCAAAATTAATGTGATCTTGGGTGCTTGGTTGTTTGGAAGCAGGTAGGCACTAAAAAATGCATTCATTTTAGACTAAGATGAATATGGATGATAAGAAAAATCAAGGGTAACCACTGAAGATTGGATAGGGTTTAAATTCCAAAGAAACAGAATGGGGGAAATGATGTAAGAAAACACACACACAACACACACACACACACACTAAATGAACTAGAGGATAAGAAGTGTGGAAAATTCTGTTATTTGAGACCATCATGTCAAGGGAAATAAGTCAGGTACAGAAAGACAAGTAGCACGTGAGCTCACTCAGATGGAACCTAACAAGTGGATCTTACTGAGGTTGGGAGAAGAATAATGCTCACCAAAGCCTGGGAAGACAGTGCGGGGGTTGGGGGGAGGCTGGGGGAGGTTGGTCAAAGCTTGATAAGATAGGTAGGTGGGAGTAGGGAGTTCTGGTGTAGCACAGAAAGGTGGCCATGGATATTGGTGACGTGCTGTGATTTTTTTTTTTTTTTTGGCGGTGCTGGGGATTGAACCAAGGACCTTGTGCACGTGAGGCAAGCACTCTACCAAGTAAGCAACATCCCCAGCCCCTGTAAATTTTTTGATATGCTAGAAGAAAATATTTTGAATGTTTTCATTCTAAAGAAATGATACATGTTTGAGAGGCTAGGTGTGTCTCCCCTGATTTGAACATTACATATTGTGTTCACGCATTAAAACATCTCACCACACCCCACCAACTACGCATGTTTTTTATGTATTCGTTAAAATTAAAATCTAAGTACAAAAAAGAGATAGCCTATATCCAACATATCATTAATCACAATAAATGCAAGTGACTGAATTCATTAGCATATTAATTCAGTTTTGTAAAGGCTGTTCATAGGAGACACACGTAGAAAGCATGTAGAAAAGTTAAAAGCAAAAGAGGAAAAAAAGATTTACCAAGAAATAGTACCCATAAGAAAGGTAATATACCTTTATTAAATTGATTGACTTGGGCATTAATATTAGAACCATTATTAGACCAAGGGGGTAGCTACAAAGTAATAAAAATTTCTTTACACTGAATTTATGATTCTATACTTGAATGTTCCTACAAAATAACCTTATCAAAATTAATATAGAAAATTGATAGGTGTGCAGAGAGAAATGAACACGTTCCCCACACAGATGTGTGAGATTTCCAACATAACTGTCGATGAGAAGAGTTTGTAGCACACGGGCCACTTTCTCCAAAACTGAAATGTCTGATGGTTAAAACTCAAAGAATAGTTTGGAACTGTCAGTGGAAGGCTGTCGTGAAGAAGGAAAATCTGGAAAATTTTGGAGGAAAATAATATTTCAAAGGACTCAACCAGCACATGGACATAATGCCCACACATGTTGAGATTTTAAAATAATTCATGATGAAAAGAGGAAACCTAAAAACATCTTGGACCTGAAGGATAAATGGAAAGGTTGCATAATCAAAATTTGTGAGATGCCCCAGATTCATAGCTAAAAATGACTATAGTAGGAAAGAAGAACACGTGGATATTAATGAGCATTAGACAGACCACAGGGTGACCCTGGTGTAAATGGGACCCAGTGCAGAGGAGGCCCTGGAGATGAGGACGTGTTGGCTGGAGGTGGGGGCTGCCCCGGCTCTCATCTGGAGAAGAAGCTCTTGACCTGCCTGAGCTCAGGGCACTTGATCTGGGTCTGGGACCCAGGTAGGCCGAAGAGCCGGGGACCAGAGATTGCAGTACTTGCCCCCAGAGGAATGCGTCCACCAGCCCGAGGGGACAGGGAGCTGCTGATAAGCCCCAGCAAGATCAGGAAGCTGAGATGTGGAAGCAGAGGGACACCTGTGTCCTGCTGCCACTCTGGCCTCCATCTTGTCATCTGAGTTCCTGCCTGGTTCCTGAGTCTCTGCTCCCCTCTCTCTCTGGCTGAATTATCCCTTTCCCCCCTCTGTCCTTCTCTCTCTCTCTGTCCTGAGCCTGGGAGAGTCAGGGCTGCTGATCATAACAAGTGCAGGTGGTCAACCCGGGTGTGGTGGCAGCGCCTGTGGTCTCTGCACTCGGGAGGCTGAGGCAGGAGGGTGGCTGGGGCTCAGGAGCTTGAGGGGAGCTTGAGGTCAGCCTGGGCCACAGAAGGAGACCCTGACTCAAAGAATTAAAAAATGCAGGTGACAGCCTGGGACTGTGGCTGGCATCTGGAGTTAGGCAGATCTGAGGACTGAGCCCCCTGCTGTGGGGTCTCCCCTGACTCCCCATCATGTCAGAATTCTCAATTGAACTGAATTCCTGGTGGACACTCCGCTGGTGTCAGAGGTTTGGCTGATGTGAGGACATGGCACATCTGGTCCCAGAGTGAGTACTGGGTGAGTATTGGGCACTTAAGGTGAGAAACACACTCACCTGTCCCAGCCTGAAACATGGACCAAGAGACGCACGGAACAAGCAGGCTTGACTTTAATGACATCTTGCGAGACCAGGTGCCTATACCCAGACTGGTTACAAGCAGCATTTTATCCCAGAGAGCACGAGATCTCTCCCTGGTTCCTCGCTGGCTGAGTACCATGGCGCACAATCTTCCTGGAAGGTCACCTAGATTTCACAGTCTTTGGTTGGGTTATTTAAAGAAATACACCTTCAGTGGTCCCCAGCAACCTCGGTCCCCTGGGGCAGAAAGGTCCCTTGGATTGAGTGCCTTTTGGCACACACACAGTTTAGCTCAGTGAGGGGGGCTTCCTCCTGTCCTCCTGTCTGACAAGGGGCTGTGAATTTTTACACTCCCGTGATACCTGCCTGTGACTTTTCCCTCTGTTCTGCTGTCAACCGCCTTTCTCACATCCCAAGTCACTTTTCTTTTAAAGCTAAATACTATATTCTGAAAACAGACCACCACTCTATTTCTCACATGAGGAGGAAAAAAAATATTTTGCCTACATTACAGATTTTTCAGTTTTTTTATTATTTGGTTTGCTTGGCTTTTTTGTGTTCTGATACTGGGGGTTGAACCCAGGGGTGATTAACCACTGAGCCACATCCCCAGCCCTTTTTATTATTTTTGAGACAGGGTCTCACTAAGTTGTTTAGTTCTTGCTAAATTGCTGAGGCTGGCTTTGAACTTGTGGTCCTCCTGCCTCAGCCTCCTGAGCTCAGTTAACAGCTTCAATAAAAATATTTGCGATGATTTTCTTCACTAATTAAGTCCAGTGTATAAAAGTCAAGCATGTGAATGTATAATTAATTTTAAAATAATATTTAAAATTTACAATAATAACAATTATAAATTTTCAAAATTATAATAGATTTATAATTAAAAATAAGTTTTAGATTTTAATAAGTTTTAATTTGTTTAAATCTTAAAACTATTATCATTTTAAATTATTTAAGTAGATAATTAAAGCCAAATCTACAAAATTATGAAAATTCTGTTTGGGGTATAAACAAAATATTTAAAGAAAATAATTTGGTGATTTTGGGAAGACCTACTCTTTTGTTTTTCTAATTTTTGAACTATTTAATGATCAGAAAAAGAAATTAGCCGCTCACATTTCCTAGAGCCCCATCTGCTCTGCTGAGGCCATTTTGCTTGCGGTGGGTTCACAAAATAGACTTGAACTCAGTCACTAACTTTGCCTCCAGTGGCTCCATATCCAGCCTCCTCTGCCTGGCAAGGGCATTTATAATGTCAAAATGGTGATTCCTGTGGTGTTCTTTGCTCCGAGGAAAGGAGAGTCTGCTCATCTCCAAGGGGACAGTGATAGACTCATTAGTTGGACGTGAACGTGTCCAACCCCAGGAAGCAAGGGAAGGCCTTTCTCTCTGTGTCACGGATGCATAGCCCCTGTATTAACCCATTTTTTTCCATTGCTATAACAAAGCAGCTGAGGCTGGGTATCTTCTTGAGGGGGGGGGGCGTTACTTAGCTCACAGATTTGGAAGCAGAAAGTCCAAAGCCAGGCAGCCCCACCTGCTCTGCTCCGGGAGAGGGCCCCCTGGAGGATGGCATGGTGGCAGGAGTGTGTGAGAGAGGGGTGGCGTGGGGACGCGGGTCTCGGAGTGCAGGAAGGGTTGTTTGAAAAGAACTCAGTGTCTCGGGAACTAGTGGGGGCCCCTTAGAACGACCTTCAACCCTCCCGAGGGCAGGGCCTCGGTCCCCCTCACTCAGCTCCACCTCTTACTGGTTCCACCTCCTAATGTGGCCAGGCTGGGACCTCCGAGCTCCCCGCACACAAACCCCTAGAGGAGGAAGCATGAGCCACAGCGGTCCAGACCTCATGGCCACCCAGACGGCGTCTCCAAGAGTCACCACCTACAAAGCACCTCATCTGCAACCTCAAGACCCGAGCTGCAAATTCAGACTCTTGACTTTGGGCTCCATAATCGCTGAGATGGCACCTTTGACCCAAGCTCCCCCGGCTCCAGACGTCCGTGGACTCTGCAGCCCGGACTCCATTCCTGACTCCACGTCCAGGGCCAGCGCGACCCGGGAAAGCCCGCTGCTACCCTTGCAGGCCACACCCAGCTGCCGCCTGTTCCTGTAAACACCACCTGAGACGGTCACATGCGCTGGTTTGCGTGTTGCCGAGGCTGTTTCCGCGCTGACACAGCAGAAATGGCTGGGTGTAGCAGGGGCTGTCTGGCCCGCAAAGCCGAACCAAGGACTGTGGGGACGTTTCCGGTAAAGGTTTGCTGACCTCTGTCTACATTCCACGGGCCTGACTCCAAACCCCAGGCCCCATGACCCAGACTTGAGTCCCTAGGTTCCAGAACACGAGCTGGACCCTCGGAAGGCAGACTCCAGACCTCAGACCCGGGCTCTCGACGCCATGCTTCTCTGTATGCCCAACTCCAGACCCTGACCCCAGGAAGGACCCCAGTCACACTTCAGGACAGGCAGAGGGACAGCAAGAGACCCCCTGAGAGAGAAAGGACAGACTCAGCCAGAGAGGGGCGGGAGGGGAGAGGCAGGGGGAGGGAGGGGTGCAGCTGGACAGAGGCCAGAGCCCTGCTGGGACTCAGGCACAAATCAGCCGGGCATGGTGGCACATGCCTGTGATCCCAGGGGCTCAGAGGCTGAGGGAGGAGGATCACAAGTTCAAATCCAGTCTCAGCAACTTGGCGAGGCCCTGAGTAACTTAACAAGACCCTGTCTCAAAACAAAAAAAAGGGGGGGGGGGCTAGGAATGTGGCTCAGTGGTTAAGCACCCCAAGGTCACTCTCTGGTGCCAAAAAAAAAGACGAAATTATCTTAATTTGATATTCTCAAAATCCTTTCAAAGGAAAAGAGAGAAAACCAGGAATTTGGTGAGAGAATAAGAGGTAGCAATGAGAAGTGGACACAGGAGACAGAGCATGGAGAGAGAGGTCCCGAGGAGCTGCCTGGGGCGGGCAGGGAACCCCTACTCCAGGCCCCTGATCTGACTGGAATCAGGGCATCCAGAGGGAATGAGCCTGCAAGATTGCTTCCTGCACAATGTTCCTGCCCAGCCCGGGGCAGGCGGCCCAGTACCCCAGAGGTCCCTGAGGAGGTTGAGCAGACCCAGCACAGCTCAGTGCAGGACCCAGCAGCAGAGACCCCCCAGGTGAGCAGCCAAGTATTCTCCCATCCTCAAGTCACACGTCTGTGCGTGGCCCATGCTCTCTTTGGGTTTCCACCTCTTTCTTTCTGTCTCTCTGTATGTCTCTCTCCCTTTCTTTGACTCAGTGTATACTGAAGTTTTAAGATCACAGTCCCTGGTGCTAGACTGTCTGGGTTTCAATATCAACTCCTCCACTTGCTGGCTGTGTGACCTCAGACAAGTTGCTTAGTTTCTCTGTGTCCCTGTTTTCCTCCCTGTGCACCGGGGATAACAGTAGAGCTGTGAGGTAAGGTTGCTATTAAAATGAGTCACTGCGTGTCGAGTGCTTAGACCAGTGTTGGGCACAGAGTTGTGTCCTGAAAGTCTTACTAAAACATCTTTATTTGTGTCTCCGTGTCTTTGACATTCACTAGCCCTGACCTCCTCGTGTCTCCTTCTCCACTGTCCTCATGCTGGATCTCTGGCTCTCCCAACCCTGGTTTGTGTCTCTGTCACCATCTTCTGAATCTCTTTCTGCCAGTTCACCGTCTCTGTCTCCCCATCTCCCTGCCCGTCTTCCCTGCAGGTGTGGCTCACACTGACTTCTTCCAGGGAACACTGGACAATGAATGGGGCTTTGGGTTGTCAAAATTGATGTGGAGGGTGCTACTGGCCTCTAGAGGGCAAAGACGGGAGCTGCTGCAAAACATCCTCCAATACACAGGGCGGAATCCACAGCAAGGGTGGGGTGTGGCTCAGCAGGGAGCATTGCCTGTCGAGCAGAGGCCCTGGGTTCCATCCCCAGCGCCACACACAAAAATGTCAATAGCACTGGAGGCTGAAATACTGACCTGGGTTGTGATGTCAGGGTCAGGGCTCAGAGCCTAGGGTGGAGAAAGTCCTCCATGGCTGCTCCTGCCCAGGGAGGGTAGGGGGAAGAGGCTACAGGACCAGAATGAACACACCCCCTTGCCACCAGGTGGAAACAGGAGGATCCCAGCAGAAACCCTCTAGGTCTGGTTCCTGGGATATGTCATTCACACTGTCACAGGTATCTGAGTGGGAGAGAGAACATATGGGCCAGAGAGACACAGCTCAATGTCTCCGTGATTCAGTTTCCCCCTTTCAGAATGAGACAATGTTACAACCCCCCTGAGTGGTGATCTAAATAGACAGGTGAGATAATATATAGGCATGTCATCCCCAGAGTGCCAGACCCACGGGCGAGTTCAAAAATCCTAGCTGTAATTATCCTTCCAACCAGTACTGCTAGCTAGCTGGTGCCCTCCCTGAGTGTGTGTGTGTGGCAGGGGAGGGAGGGGGTGAGGGGGGAAGTACAGTCTTGCCACTGTGTTGCTCCAGGGTGGGTGCTGCTGGATGTGGCCTTGCTGGGAGTGCAGGGGGTCCGGCAGAGTAAAAATCCTCATCCAGTGAGTACGTTCTGGTTGCTGGTTGTCCAGCTCTGTGGGTGTCCACTAGTCAGGGTGCAAGACTTGATAGCCTCTGTCCCCTGCAGGCAGGAGTCGTTGCAAAGGCTGAGGACCCTTTTGGGGAAGGGAGAGTGTGTGTGCACAAGGACGCGGGCCTTTGGTCTAGTTTTTGAAACTGTGACTCTGGGCGGTGTAGGGGAGGAGGTGTAGGAGAAGAGCGGTCAGACCAGGGGTCTGGGCCTTAGACTCTGCCTTGAGCCCCTCCCAGCCCAGCCCAAGCAGCAGACCCAGAGACCCCATCCGTGCTTCAGCCTCCCGATGCAGCCTGCAGTTTCCAAATGCTGACCTGCCCCGCCTTCCATTTGTGCCTGACCCTGCCCCCCCTCCCCCAGGAGGTGCGATTCCTCCGGGAGGATCCCTGATTCGGCTCTCAGGTGCTTTGTCCTGCCGCAGTCCTGCTGCAGCAAAATAACCAGGGTAAGGAGCAACTTGTGTACATTGATACAGCAGGAGTGGGAGCCGTTTATTGTAGGACAACAGAGGTATTTATACATTCCACACAGCTTATCCTAATTAACATAAACTCGATAGAGCAGTCAACCAATAAGGAATCTCCACACTTAATGGCTCACAGTCAACCAATAAGGAATCTACACTTAATGGCTCGCTGGCGTTACTTTACAAACCACTCCCTCTGGCATTTTGCCAGGCGCCATCCAGACTTGTTTACAGACCCTAACATTTCTCTGGCAAAATGCCAGGCGCCATCCTGACTTGTTTACAGACTCTAACATTGTCCATTGCCAGCAAAATACTCATCTTCGGTGGCCATGAATGCACGCTGTACTCCACCCTGGCAGGCAGCCCTGTTTCTGAAAAATGACTTGCACGGCGGGGGCGTCCTGGTGCATCCACATGGGTGCTGTCCGCGGCGCACTGCTTCCGGAGGCCACTGCTGGCTGGGGCCGTGACATTTGCACCAGCTTAGCCTAAAGTTTGGGAGGGATTTCAGCAGAGCAGAGAAAGCGGCCCGGGGCGGGGCTTGAGGGACCGGTCTTGGGGGGCGGGGCTTGGCCAGAGTGAGACTTGAGCAGAAGGCTTGGCGCGGAGGGGCGGAGCCAGGGGTGGGATTCTAGAGGGGGCGGGGCTTGAGGGGCGGGGCTCGGGCTCCAGCGCTGACTGCTAGGTGGGAATGAGAAGCAGGGAGCCTGCGGAGTCCGCAGTGATGAGGGCGGGGTTAAGGGACTGTTCAGACCCGGGCTGGACCCAATTACGGAAGTGCCTAAGAGGAGGATGACCTGAGAGAAGCAAGTGCTCAAGGAATGGGGGGAGCTGCAGTAGGAAGGGCGTTTTCTGAGCACCGCCTTTCAGCCTTTCATTGGCGTCAAGGGCGGAGGCAGGTGATGAAGTCAGGGACCGGGATGGGGTCCGGACACACCTGGGCAGAGGTGTGCGTGTAGCTGGGGGCCGGGTATAGAAAGAGGTCAGAGCAACACTTACCTTGACTGCAGTTTGAGGGCACAGTCAAAAATATCACTAATCATACTTGCTGATATAAATAAACATCGTTGTCCTTGTTTAAAAAATAAAATAAAATAACAAAATTTAGAGATTTAAAGAAATCACTAATCAAAATTAATATTTTAATGTAATATTTTAAAGAATAAACATTAGTGCAAAAATCCACAATGAACCAATATTTAAATAGAGATAGGACCTGACAGACCTGGGGTCAGGATAAGGTTAGTAACATTGGTCAGGCAGGGTCATGTGCTGTCTTTACTTAGAATGTTCATAATTTGTTCTTCATGGATTTTTTATTAATTTTTAATTTTTAAATATTATATTTAACTATTATTTGTTTGGGTTGCTGGGTGTTTAGGCTCCCTTAAGTGTGGACCTGAAGCAAGGGCCTCGTTCACTCGCCCTAGTTGTTGGGATTTGGGGTGAACTTAGGAGTGAGGGTGGGAATGGGGCTTAGGATGGTGCTGATGGTTAAGTTTGGCATGGAAATGAGTCTGGGCATAGGGCTGATGGTTGGAATGAGGCTGGGAGTGGGACAGGAGCTGAGAGTCGGTGGAGATGAGGTTGTGGTTGGAATGGGGCAGGATGTGAGTTTGGGGTTGGAGGTGAGGAGTAATTCCATGTACTGACCTGCCCTGGGGCCCCCAGCTCCTACACCATGGGACCAACCTGCACCAGGCACCAGGCACCAGGCAGCCAGATGATCAAGGTCAACTGCTCCATTCAGCATCCAGAGTACAACGAACCTCAGGATCCAGCGACCTCATGCCCATCCAGCTGCGGGACCCAGCCACAGCCTCGGACTCCATCAGCCCCATGAGCATCGCCTCCCAGTGTCCCACCCTTGGAACCAGCTGCTTGGTCTTGGACTGGGGTTGGCTGTCCAATAGTGGTTTGAGGTGTGTCTGTCTCTGGGTCCACCTTCGTCCATGGCTGTCCCTGTCTAGCTACTGACTCTGTGTCATCCATCACAGGAAGCATTTTGCAGGGTCTGGCTGTCCTGGTGATGTCCAAGACGTCCTGCAGAGCATCCCTCCCTGAGTTACACCCTTCCTGCATGTTCTGCGCTGGTGGTCAGGACAACAAGGACTCTTGCGTTGTGACTGGAAGAGGCAGGGGTACCGTATGGGAAAGAAGAGGGTAAGAAAAATGGTGCCAAATGGCCCTCTGTGGCTCGCAGCCAGAGTGTCAGCAAGGACTGTGCATGCCCAGCAACTGCAGGAAGAGCTGGACGGGGGAAGGTGACCCACCAGCTGAGTGTGGAATGGCGAAAAGGATCAGAGAGTGAGAAACCAGAGATCCCCAAGACCAGTGGGCATCTGAAATTGATTACCACCTTGTACTCTGTTGACCAGTGGTCCCTGCCCTGCTCTCAGCTGGCTCAGAGGCCACAGTGTGCCATACACACCCACACACACACACACACACACACCTGAACTCTAGCCCCCGGGCCCCAGCATATTCTTCCTCAGGACAGAGAGGTCACTCCTTACCCCCACTCAAACACGAGATGCCCAGCCTCTACCTCCCCAAACTCCAGACACCCAGGAGCTCCCACTCCCCACCACCAGAGGCCTTCAGGACATGGAGCCCTGCCTCCATAACATCCCCGTGTGGCCCCAGGCAGCACCCAGACTGGGGAGAGGCATGAGGCACTGCAGGTCTGGCTTCCACATTCAAAAAGGCACTTCCAGCCAGGCGCAGTGGCTCACACCTGTAATCCCAGGGGCTCGGGAGGCTGAGGCTGGAAGATCACGAGTTCGAAGCCAGCCTCAGCAACTTAGTGAGGCCCTCAACAACTAAGTGAACCGCGTCTCAAAATAAAAAATAAAAAGGGCTGGGGATGTGGCTCAGTGGTTAAGCAGCTCTGGTTTCAATCCCCAGTGCCAAAAAAAAACAAACAAAGAGGAAGAACATCTCCCAGATTGGGAATGGCACACACAGCCTAGGTCCCAGGACCGGTCCACCTTCTGTCGGGCGTCCTCACCCCTCAGCTCCTCATCACCCCTCTGCCTGGCTTTTCCCCTGGGCCTCCCCTCCGCTGCTCCAGCAGCCCTTGAAGCCCTGATGTGTTTCATAATGGCTGTTGTCCTTTCTCGGAACTGTTTCCCTCTTGGCTGTCCACGCCCCCATCTCCTGTTCTATGGTCCCTGAAAGAGGAAGGGGAAGGACCAGAGGGTGAGAGGTTCTCTGTGCTGGGAGATGGAGATGAGGACACTGGGTTTAGTGGGTTCAGCAGGTGGCCACTGGGAGTCAGGCTTCAAGGCCATCCTTGGGTCACAAATACAAAATGCATGTGGCATTCGGTATGTGTACGACCTGGGCTTGGTCCCAGAGTTTGTGCATCTCAGCAAACTCGGTGTCATATGAAATCACATATTTGGCCATAGTCAGCCATGGACAACTGGACCTGCACACTTAGGCTCTGACAAGGACAGCGCTCTAAGCTGAACACTCTTGGCGGGCGTCAGGTGGCACTTCCAATAACCAGCACAGATGTTCACGTGGGAATGAAGATGGACGGTTAGGACTTGGACACACACACACAGACCCATCCAGCCTCCAGTGTGGCAGGACATTGATGTCACCCAGGCACACGCCACACACAGGACCCGGACATGCAAGGTGCTAAGAGCCAAGTATATGATGCATGGCATTTTTGGTTGAAAGGTGACGCCAGCTAGCCATTGAGATGATATGATTATGTTAAGATTTGCATTCATATGGATATTGGACTCCTGCTGTTCACCTAGGCTGGCTACGGGACTCCTGGAGAGTTCCCATTGGTTGGGGAAGTACAGTAGGAGGGAGTTAGGGGGGAGGAGCTCGCTCGGGGGTCCGAGAGGAGGCCGCGTGGGTGGAAAAAAAATCTTCCCGGGCGGTACCGGAGATTGGCGGCAGTTTCAAAAAATAAACTTTGTTCCTGCTTGAGTGGCTCGTGATTTTGTGCCCAGCCAGACTGCGGCAGCAAGGGAAGGTCTTACTAAGGTACACAGGGAGAGATGCCAAGGTGCCCTCAGGCCCCCAAGACGGGGGCAGTCATGGGTCTATGGTACAGTGGCCACACCCAGAGGCCACCCACCTGGGTTCACACATACCAGCTCTGAGTCCTCGAGAAACTCAGTTGACTACAGTGAGCTTCCATCTCCTCCTCTGTTATGTGGGGGCTCTCAAGAGTTAAATGGGAAACTGTGTGTGTGTGTGTGTGTGTGTGTGTTTACACATCTGGATGGGTGTGATAATGCCTGCCACATCATAACTGCTTCATAAACATTAGTCGTTTTAATCAAAGGCACATCATTATTTAAGGGACATATGTATTATATTCACATTGTGGAAATCAGTATGCCAAAGTCAGACACATGCACTGAACCAGGGGAAGAGGGTCAAGGTTAATAATGATCTTCATCCACACAGCCACTTAGGCAGTGGTGACTCAGAACCACAGACCCAGGCCCCAGAGACCAGACATTCAGATAGGACCCACCAGGTCAGAGCCCAGGAACCTCCAGGGGCAGAGGTGGACACTGAAGGTGAAAGGCACACCCTGGAGACACAGGGCGCAGGGACAGGAAGCACTCATCCATCGCCAGGTCAGGCCCTCAGTCAGGTACTTGATGTCAAAGGTCACTCGTCAGATTTCCCATATGGGGGCATGGTCCATGCACATGGGTGGGATGTGCATGCACACATGTGTACACACACACACACACACAGAATCAAATGCACAAACACCAAAGAGGGGCTTTTCAAGATTGAAGGGTTATGACCCCCCACACTGTGCTGCATGGATACATCCTCCAAGGTCAACACCCCTTCCCTGGCAGCCCCTTCCCTGAGAGACAGAGAACAGGCGGCTCCCACTGTCTGAAGGCCCTGAGTGCAAGGGCCTTTGACCAGGGGCTGGCGTGCTCTGCTAGTGTCCAAGAAACCATGGCAGGACAACTTATTTGCTTTCCCAGATCCTTCGGAGTTCCCAGTGAGAGCTGGGCCCTGGGGCTGCACCTGGCCAGCTGGGGATGAGGTGGGAGGGAGACTCAGTGGGCTGCAGCCACATGCAGAGAGGGGACCATGCTGAGCTGCCTGGGGGGTGGGGAGTGTAAGCCTGGACTGGCAGGCCCCAGAGTCACCCTGGGAGGGGAAGAGAGAGTGAGAGAGCCCAAAGGTGAGTTTCCGCCTGTAAGCGCCCCCCCAAACCCACTCCAGAAGGCAGGCAGGAATTCTAGCAGAAGGACAGTGGGCGGAGTCCTGGCAAATGGGGAAGGACCTCAGAGTCCTGCTCCTGCACAGGGAGGCAGGGTCCAGAAGGACAGTCCCCAAAGACAGGGAAGGAGCAGACCTTCCCCTCTCCAGGGATCACCTCACAGGAGGCACTGGGGAGCCATGGAGGGCTGTGAGCAGGGGCCGCATGGGGGATGCAGTAGAGGCTGAGAGGCTGAGGCCCGGAGCCTGTGAGGAAGGTGGGAGAGTGCCGCAGTCTGGCTGGGCACAAATCACAAGCCACTGAAGCAGGAACAAACTTTATTTTTAAACTGCAGGAAAACACTTCACACAGCTCCCGGGGAATCCTCCCGAACGCCACGAGGCTTGTCCAGGAACCCCCAGCCGGAAATATCTCTCCCGGAAATCCCTCCTCCTGCACTTCCCCAACCAATGGGAACTCTCGGGGAATCCCTGGAAATCCCCACGAGAACTCCAAAATAGTGCGAGAACTCAAAAGTTGCGGCAGAGGCGGATAGTAATGCCTCGCCTGTCAATCAATACTGTTGGCAAAATGCCAGGGGCCATACAGACTCGGCCGTGGCTCTCAGCAGGAGAGGGCTCCAGTGGGGACAGGACCAGGGGCCTCCACTCAGGTCGGCCCATTGCACTCCCACCCTGGCACCGAGCCCTCCCTGCACTCTGATCTCCACGCAGACACCAGAAGGAACTGGTGACACTGAGTCAGAACCCGACTGCTCCTGCCCAGCACCAGCCACCAGTTAGCTCATCAGAAGAAAAGCAGGGCCTCCCCACAGCTGTGGCCTTTAGGATGGGCCCCTCTGCCCTCTCTGATGCCCTCTCCCTGTCCTCTGCTTCCTCTGCCAGGCATGGGACCCCTTGGCCCCCCACTCCCTCCGGCACCATGAGCCTTCATGGAAAAACATGGAAATGGCCCCTGAAGGCCAAGGCACCACATACCACCAGTGGGGCAGGGTTTCACATCCAAATCAGGTGGCCACCTGCCCCTGCCACGGTCACCCCCGGGGCCCAGAACACTGGGGAAGCTGGGGGAACACACATGTGGTGGATGAGGAGGACAGGAAGGTGGACAAGGTTCTCCTGCCGAGAAGGGAGGAGGACACGAGCTGAATGTGTTGGGGACAGTTCTCCACAAGTCTCTCGCGGTTCTGTGTCTCAGAGCACAGGCATCAACAGGGCTGGAGACGGCTGTCCAAAACATTTTGCCAGCCAGCAGTCTCGCACAGAGTCATCTCCGCCAAAGCAGCTTTGTTTGCTGTCCTGGATAAGAATCATGTGTCCCCAGAAGTGCTGTGCTTCATGTCCAGGACAGTAACTACAATAGGCCCCTTGGAGCAGTTCTGTTTGGCTCTCAAGACAATAAAGATAGTATCTCCCTCAGGACAAAGTTGGGCAGGTTGGCTGGCAGCCCCTCCCTTACAGATTCTCAAGGTCAGGGTCCTCACCAGGGGGACAAACCACCATGTGCAGAGTCCTCCTGGGCAGCTCTGATGGCTCCGGGACTTGGGAGGCCCTGAGGCTCAGGGCAGTGGGCAGGTCTTAGATAGCAAACCGCCCTCACATGCCAATCTCCAGAGAGCATTTAGGTCCCTTCCTCTGGGGTATATCAAGGCAAGACTAGCATCTCAGTCTTCTTTAGTACAGGTCACCTTTTGGTCCCTGTTTCCACCAACCAAACTATTAGAGCCCTTCTACCCCCAGAGCTGCAAGATGAAACGCAGACTCTCTTCTTAATCAGCTCCTACCAACAAATTCTGCCTTAAGGTCCTTTCAAGAGCACCCCACACCCCATGCTTCATGTCCCTTTCCACACCCAGATTTCTTCTGTTTCAACAAAAAAATAATGCAGCTCTTCCGCAGCGTGACGGGCTTCCTCGCGGGTTACAATTGTAGCTTCATTTCTAGGAGTCTTGGCGGAGGGGGGACCTGGGGACAATCAGACACATCGTGTAGGGGAGCTGTCTCAGGCAGGCGTCACGGGTCCCTGACTTAGTGCGTGTAACGGGAGGCCTTAAAGGACCACAGATCTCAAGCTCTTGCCAGATCTGCCCTGCACCAGACGACAAAGGCCCTCCCCAGGCCACCTTCCCTTCCAGCTGGTTAAGCCGCGTGGGTTTGCCAGCCCCGGAGATTGTGGAATCCCAGCCTGCTGTGGGAACCAGAGCTCCCCCACCCCCTTGTTACTGCACAGCCTGACTCCCACAGTCCCTCTTGTTGTCTGACTCTGAATGCAGTCCCTGAGTGATCCTGCACAGTGTGTGCGTCCCCCTCCCTGGGCTGTGAAGACCTGTGAGGAAGGCGCTATTGTCCATCCCGGGTGTCCAGCCATCCTCCTGGGGCGGAAGTCCCACCCACCCACCCACAGTGTGAGGAGAAAGCAAATGAGACAATACTGTGTCCTCAGAGAGCTCAGTCTTCCCTCGAACCTGCTGCTACCCTGGATTCCCCATCCTCAGGGAGCTCCCTGGTCCACCCGGTCACAAGAGCAGACCCGCCCACAGGGCTCTCTCCTCACCCCCTGCCTGTGGAAGGCTAACTCTGAAGGTGCTGGGTTCCTGCACCTTCCAAATCAAGGACTCTCCCTTGAGTGGCTTCCTGGGGACAACCCCAGGAGCCTTGGAATTCTCTGCCTGAGAGGACCTTAGTATAGCTGGCCTTGCACCAGGCCAGGCGGTTCAGGCCAACAATGTGATTTTGGGCAAATGCCTGCTTATGTACCTCTGGAGCCCTGGGTCAGGCCCTGGAGAGGCTGGGGAGGGAGGGAGTAGGGTCAGCCAGGTGAGGACAGAGGCCAATAAAAACGCTGGGTACGAAGGCTCAGGGGAGCCCTCCTAATCGACAGCCCTTCTGTCGGTGCTGTCACATATCATTGTCCACAAGACCCAACTGGGAGAGGACAGCTGGGGTTTGCCCTGTCCCCTCCACACTCCAGTCGGTGACATTTCCTCTGCTGATTTTCATCTGCATTCTGCAGGACACCACAGCACGATGGCTCTTCTGAGTTCTGAGTCCTGCTACAAAATCACTGAGTCCGAGGGTGGTTTGGGGACCATGGACACCCTCCCCCATACTGGATCAGCTTCAAGGCCTCTTGTCACCCTGTGAGTCCCCCATGACACAGGGGGACCCTCCCTTCTCTGCTCACATCTTCCTTAGGCTCCCGGGCGCCCCAGGATGAAGCAGGTGATGTTTAGTGGCACCCTGCTGAGAGTGTGTGTCGGTGCCCTGTGCTTCCAGACTTTACTCAGTGCCTCAACAGTGTTTATCTCACATGTCACTGTCTTCTCCAAGGGTGGACCCAAGCCTGCCCCATCTCTCCATCACACACATGCCATAGCCACCCACCTCCTTCTGTGTGTCCCCTGGGAAGCTGTGTGAGAAGATGTCTGCAGACACCGTCAGTGTTCTCAGGGGAGCAGAAGACAGACACTCACACCCATCCGAGGACCACTGGGGACACCTATGTCTGCCTCTTCCTTTTCCTTGCAGCCCTGACCACACCTTAGGACCCAGGTCAGCAGTGATGGGGAGGCTCTAGTTTTGGCCAGGTGAGTTCTGAGCATCCAGGTGCCCTGCGTCTAGACAGGTGGGAAGATACCAGAACTCGGTGTATACTCCGTTTTACTAAGGGTAGGGATGGGGCGGGGGCACTCAGGGGTTGGCCACCATGGTGTCCTCAATCCACTTCCGGTAAGCCTTCAGCTTGGTGTACAGGGCAGGCTGTTGGGGCACGGCACAGGGATCACTGCCCCATGACATGAGACCTTGCAGCATGCCATTACAGATGAGCGGGCCCCCCGAATCACCGTAGGGGTTGGAGGGACAGAGAGAGAGAAAGGGTAGGGGTTGGAGGGACAGAGAGAGAGAAAGGTCAGCTCAATTTCTGCCCGGGAAGCCCCATCTCTCACTCGGGGCTGGCGGATCACCAACAGCTTAGAAGTGGGGTCCTCCCATTCCTTTCCCATAAGAGATTGGGGGAGGGGCGAGCTTACCCCACAGGTGTCCTTGCCACCCTGCCAGCGCCCAGCACACAGCATGGTGTCTGTCACCTTCTCAGAATAGGCTTTACTACAAATGTCATTGGGCATGAGGTTGAGGTCCACACACTGGAGAGTCCCTGGGCTCAAGACTAAGGGCCAGGGGAAAACACGACTGTAGCCAGAACCCGCCAGGCTCCTGCCTCTGCCCGGGCGGGCGGCGGGTCTGGCCAGACCTACACTTGTCTGGTTGTATGCTGCCCCAGCCAGAAGCCAGGCAGGTGCTCCCCACTTCTGGCTCCCAGGTGGGCAGGTCCAGGACCTTCACGGCGGCGGTGATCCGGGCAGGCTCCGACAGGCGGAGCAGCATCAGGTCGTGGCTTCTGTCATCGGCGGTGCTGGTGGCACTCTTCAGATAGTTCATGCTGTAGAGCGGGTGGGGGAAGGCGTAGGTGACAGGGGCCAGCTGGGATGTGTCCTCCTCAGCACCCAGGTTGTGACGACCCAGAGCGCCCCGGATATTGCTAGGGAAATAGAGGGAGGGAGAGAATGAGGAGAGGAGGGGCGGGGAGCCCAAGAGGGTCCCCAAGGAGAGGAAGAAACAGAGAAGGACGGGGGCACAGGGGTAAAAAGAGAGAAGAGGGAGCAGAGAGGAAGTGGGGTGCGCTGAGAGGAGCGGCTCACTGCAGCGGCTGTCCAGGGCCCCAGCAGGGCAGGCAGCCGGGCACAGAGCCCAAGGTCTGACCCCACCCCCTCCCTCAGGGGCCCCCAGCCCTTCCCTGTGTCTCCCCCAGAGGGGACTGGTGGTCCCACAGGGAGGGGCAGGGCAGCGCGGGAAGCCCCCTCCCAGGCACACAGGTTGGGGTGCATGCCTGCCTTTTCTCGGGGTCCCCCTGGAATGGGGCCAGTAGTGATGGGGAGAGGAGTGAGCCAGAGACCCAGAGAAAGAGAGAGGGGTGGAGACATGGAGGGGGAGACATGCAGTGCCTGAGACGGTGGCAGAGACTCAGAGACAGAGAAGAAAAGGAGAGGCCAGACCCCAGCCCCGCCCGGAGCAGCCAGATTCTGAGAGGCACAGAGACAATTCCGTGGGGAGAGATGCAGAAAGGGGCCGGGCAGCCATGGACAGGGTGGTCCAGCCTGGCTCTGCCCCTCCCCAGGCCACCTGGATCAGCACCATCCTCTCCCTCTCAGTCCCACGCCTGGTGTGGGGGAAATGCCCAGCTGTCGATCCCCGTGGGGCACAGAAGCCCCCTCCCAGACTCCCAGGCCCCACTCACTTCTTTTGGACAAGCTGCTGAGGATGGGACCCGGGTCTTGCGCATGCCAGGGGAGGTGCTCTGCCACCGACCTACATGCCCAGGCCCCTACTCACTTTCTGAAGCAGTGGGCAGCAGTGAGGACCCACTGGGGGTGCACCAGGACGCCCCCACACACTGCCAAACCATGATGGTACACGGCCGCCTGCCAGGGATGGGAATTCTTCTGGCACTCCCAGCCCCCTATGATCCGAGACTGGATGGGGGTCGCAGCACCTGCAGAGAGGGGGAGCCGGCAGGGCTAGGGCGGGAAGAAGGGGCTGTGCTGTGGGCTTGAGGGGGCAGAGGACCAGGCCTGGGCACTCAGGGGTGTGGGCAAGGGGTGCTGAGAAGGGACTGGAGTTGAGACCATTCCCTGGGTTTGTAGAAGGGTATTCCGACTAGGGAGCAGGACAGACCCCCGGGCTCGGGGCAGGAGGGCCAACACAGCATCTGGAGCAGGCAGTGGGCCTGGGGTCTGGACATGAGGGTGATGGGGGGCCTTGGAGGTTGGGAGATGGTGGCGTGGGTCCTGGAAGGGCAGGGGTTTCTAGAAACCAAGGAGAAGCTCCCCGTGGGAGAGGAGGTTTGGGAGGCTTGAGGGTCCCAGGCTGGGAGAATGGTTGGAGATTTGAAAAGATGCAGATCTCGGGAGTGTGCTCTGGGTAACTGGCAGCTGTGGCTGGTGGTGCTGCCTGCCGACCCCTCCACCTTGGAAAAAGGCCAGCCACCGCTGAGAGGCTGGGCAGAGTCAGGGAATGAGGGGAAATTCTCAGAACTCCAGCGCCAGGTTGGGAGATTTTCTGCTGCCTCAGGCCAGGAAACCTGGCTCTGGGAATAAGCAGGGGTCCTGATGGAATCTGAGTTTCCTAGGAGCAGGATGAGGGGGCTCAGGGTGAAGGGCTCACTGCTGGGGGAGAAAAATCAGCAGCATTTAGTAGGATCTCTCAAGGGGGTTGAGAGGGAGACCGGGATCTCCAGCGTCATTGAGAGAGGTCCTTGGAATAGACAGAGAGACAGAGAGGGTCCGGGATCTGTCCCTTTAGAAAAGTGGCTGGCAGCAGGGAGTAGAACTCATGAAGAGGGATTCCTGGGAGGGAGCAGGGACCTGGTGTGGGAATGAGGACTGTGACGGATTTGGCCACACAGAGGGCTCAGAGGCAGGATTAAATGTGGGACTGTGAGAAATAGGGACAAACCTGGAGGGTCAGGCTGGGGGCTGGGTGGGGGAGGAAGGACTCAAGGGAGGTGAGAGTCAAGGCCCCTACCCCTCCTGGATTCCCCACTGTCTCACCAGTCCCCCACAGGGACAGGACGAGGAACAGAACCAGGAACCACATGGTGACAGAGGCCTCCAGGGGCAGGTGGCAAGCTCGGGACTGAGGAACTCCCTGAGGAGGCTTATGAAGTCTCCAGTCCCCCAAGACCCCACCCTGCTACTGGGAGCTGGACACGTCCTTCCACACCAGGAGCCCTGCAGGGGAGGAGCACCCAGTGTTGGTTGTTCTGGATGCATTTCCAGGTCCTGAAGCCAGGTGGGCAGGGCCTGCAGCCCAGAGACTTGATCTAAAAGGGTGAAAAGAAACGGGGATAGGACTGACCCTCAATGCAAAGCCCCATGTGCCCAAACCACAAGTCAGGCCTTTGCAGCCCAAGACCCAGTGTCCCCTGAAGTGCCATCACCATGGGTAGCGAGTCTCCCTGATCCCTATGGCACCCTGGCCAAGACGCTGACCCTCCAAGTTCTTATGTCCCTGAAAAAGAAGCCTTGGATGCAGAACTCAGATCATTACACTTCCACACCCAGAATCTGGGCCCCTAAATCTACTGCTGCTCTTATAATAAACCTTATGGTTCTATAGATCCACCTGCCAATCCGAAAATATGAGTCTCCTGGACTGAGTTCCTGAGCACTTCAAAATCCAGTGTTTTCCAAATGACGTGGGTTTCCCATGACCCCCCCACACACACACTCTCTCTATATAGATAGATAGATAGATAGATAGATAGATAGATAGATAGATAGATACACACACACAAATATGCCCATCTCCATCCTCATTCTCCAGCCCCGGGCACTCAATCTGTACGTCAGGGATTCCTATCATGCCCACCCCGGTCAGGAGCACCCCCATGCAAAAGCCACTGTCCTCTCCTCAATAGCATATTTCAGCCTCAGGAACCAGGCTTATGCACCTCAAGATTAAGTGACATTTAAAATCGCATTTGAGGACCGCAGAAGAGAATCAAGAATGAGAGCCCTGCCACCTCCACTGACACCCGGTAAGGCTTCCTAAAGTCCCTCCGGCTGGGCTAGTTCAGCTGCTCTGTAAAACCAAATAGTTCACAGGGATCCAGCCCTGGCTGCGTCTCAGGAACTTGATAAAATCTTCCCTCTTTCCTAAGTGAGGGACAAGTAAATTCCAAGTGCTCTGAGGGTGACAGGAGAGGGACTCAGATAATCACAATTAAAGATCTAAAGGCAGGGATAGAGGGATGTGCTCAACCAGGGCCTCACCCCCACACACATAGATCAGGGTGCCCTGGAATCATCCTGGGAGAGGAAGTCCGCCTCTGCTTGAGTTAGATCCTCCTGGATCTACTGTTCCCAAGCATCTCCAAATCCCCATCTAAACCTCAACCAAACTTAACCCTGGCCGTTTAACACAACCCAGTCCACCCGCATCACACACACCAACCCAACCTAACCTAACTCAACCGAACTGCTGCCCGCATTTGAAACGATTCCAAACTCATGCCCATCCTCACATACCACATAAGCCCATGTCTGTGGCTGCCACTCTCCACCCCGAGCCAATCCCCACACAGTTCCCATACAACCTCAGAATAATCCCATTTCCACCCAGGCCATCCCCAGCCAACCAGACACCCCAATCCCCAAACTCCACAAAAGCACAGCCAACTCCAACCCTTCCCTCCACTCTCACTGATCTTCAAGCTCCAGCCTCAAATCTGTCCCCAGCACATCATGTGGCCAAAGAAAACCAAGCATGGCTGAGTACTGACTCCAAAACCTGCCCACACCCCTCCCACACCTCCGGCTCAGCGGGACAGCACAGGGGTTCCTGCCTCTGCCCTCCAGGCCTGTGTGTGCACCCTGAGGTCCACAGACAGCTCTGACTAGTCTTTCCCCCCACACACCTTGGTACCAGGGATTGAATCCAGGTGCACTTAACCATTGAGCCACATCCCTGGAATTTGGTGTTTTTTGGTTTGTTTTTTTTTTTTTTGTTTTTTTTTTTTTGGTGTTTTTTTTTTTTTTTTTTTGAGACAGCATCTCGCTAAGTTGCTTAGGGCCTCACTAGGTTGCCGAGACTGGTCTTGAATTTGAGATCCTCCTGCCTCAGCCTCCTGAGTCGCTGGAATTACAGGAGTGCACCACCACACCTGGCCCTGACTGGTCTTTGTTCAAAAGATTTGGCTGAGATAATTCTGATTGGGGCACAATGCAGGAGACGTGGAAGACCCGGGAAGACGGGAAGACGGTGGAACTGGAAGAAACCCTTAAATGCAGGCCCCTCCTCCCTCGGCCCAAAACCCTTTGGAAGAGGGCAGCGCGCATGCGCAGATTGCGGGCCCAGGTGCTGCCCTCGCGGTGAGGAGCCCCTGAGAATGGGCCGCCTTGGTCCTCGGTGCCTTTGGAGATCTGGGGCGCCGGGGTGGTCCCATCACCCTCTCCCCAGACCCTGGGCCAAGGTCCCAGCCCTGCCTCTCTCACATCAGGAGCAGCAAGCCCCACACATCTGGAACTCAGCCCACCAGGGCTCCAGCCCCGCCCTCTCCAGAAGCGGACCCCCTAGGCGTTCCCACCCCGAGCCCCATCCAAACCCAGATCCCCCGACTTCTGAGCCCCGCCCTTATTATAGGTTCCCCAATGGGCTGCCCACCCAAGGTCGGGAGGTGGACCGGGAACCCTGCTTCCGCGGGATGTGGTAGACAGTGTTTGACCGGGACTGCTGAGCAGATGCCGGAGCAAGGCAGCCAGGCAGCCTGGACGGGTTTCTGAGGTCTTCTGTGCCCCGCCCCTGGGCTGCCTTTTCAAGGATGTTTGCCCAGAGCGGGAAGCCTTGCCAGATTCTGTCTGCCTCGGATCTGGTTTCTTACGTCCTGGGTAATAAAGATAACATCTCTCTTACAGCAGCCTTGTTTACTGTTGCGGGGAATAAATAAATGTCTCTCTAGGGCAGGTCTATTTGCAGCCCCGGATAATGAAGACGTAGCTCCATCAGGGACACAGGCTGGGCCGGTTTGCAAGTAGCCCATCGAAGATTAAGGATTCTGGGCTCGGGTTCCTTGCCGGTGGCGCAAACTGCGGCTGCACAGAAGCTGCCTGCGCTGCTCTGATCTCTGACTCCGTGGGATTTGTGGTCAGAGCCTGAACAGAGAGGAAACCTGAGGCTCGCGCTGCTCTCCTGCCGTGAGTAATGAAGCTTGGACCCAAGAGTGTCCTGTGTTCCAGCATCTGGACACCGCAGCAGACTTTTTCTTTGCAAGTTAGTAAAATCTCAGACCCTTCCGAGTATTTGGCAAGCATTGGGCACTGAGGCTGCACCTGCAAGGGGGGTCCAGAAGGGCCCCAGCCTGGCGCAGTGGGCAGGTGGAGAGGGAGCAGGCAGAGGGGCTGATGGGACTTGGTAGGGGGCGGTCTCAGAGAGCCCCAGGGGCAGAGTCAGGTAGGGAGTTAATGAAGTCACCACCACCTTCTTCAGGGCAGAGAGATCAAGTCATAATTAGTTTCTCTGCAGATGGCAACTGATCATAGTCTCTGAAGACCGCTGGATCCAGAGTGACCTTGACCTAGTGGGCACCCCTTCTGCTGTCCAATGATGCCAGTAGTATCCACCTAGAAGGGTGCTGTGAGGAGGAGATGAGTGTTTGCAAGTGCTGACCTTTGGCCTGGCCCAGGCTAGGTGTTCAGCGAGGCCAGCACAGACCCAGGCGCGTGCTGGTCACAAGGCAGAAATAAAAAGCTGAGACTGGCAGGTTGTCTGGCTAATAAATCTGCATATCCACCTGCCTTTTGTCCCACTCTGCTGTCCCATTCATTCACTCAGTCGTTCATTTGTAAGAATTAGGGATGGATCCCATCAGCATCCCATCAGTAGCATCCCTGCCTGAGCCACATCCCCAGCCCTTTTTATTTTTATTTTGAAACAGGATTTCACTGAGTTGCTGAGGCTGCCCTCTAACTTGCAATCCTCCAGCCTCAGCCTCCAGAGTCTCTGGGATCACAGGCAGGCGCCACCACATCCAGTCCTACCTGGCCCCTTGTAAAAAGCTTTCCTGGCTCCTGAGTTTTCTGAAGATGGAAATTTTAAGAAAAAAAAAAGTTTCTTCTATCATCCTTCAAAGCTGACTTTCATAAAACCCATTTTCTTGCCCATTTGACCCTGAGTCTCTGTGGAGCACCACCAGCAGCAGTGTGGCCTCTTGTCCCCATGCAGTGGTGGCTCCCGTAGCCCCACGAGCACCTCACATACACATCGGAGTCTTGCCATGACCTTGTGAAGGAGAGTGTGCAGCAGAGGCTGGACCTTGTCCAAAGGGTCAGGCCTTGGCCCTCGGCTCCTGGGAGGCCGTGTCCACACCTCGGGATTCTCCTGCCTGATTAGAGTGACTTTGTTTGCCCCGGGGCCTGGACCCCCCAACAGTCTGACAGTGTGATTCACAGTGAGGGCTTTGGGGCCTCATATCAGCCAGACTTCTGGAGGGCTGGACACTGAAGGTCATCCATGAAGGTGATCCACCATGTCTATGTGTGACCCAGCTAAACTCAGACCCTGGGGCTCAGTCGAGTTCCCTGGTCAGCAATACCCTACACACTGTCACACACGATTTCCAGGACTTGTGTGCCCAGCGGTGTCATTACTTGTCCGTGTGACTCCACATCTGTTGCCACTGCACACCTGTGCAGGTGTCTGGACCTGCCACCAGAGTATTGCAAATCTGCTCGTGTGTCCCTGAGACCAGCCTGCTGCGTCCTTCCAAAGTGTGACACCCATCTGTGTGACAGCTAAACATGTTCATGTCTGTGTGTGACCCACATGAGTCAGTGTGTTCCTAGAAGGGATCTTGGTGAGAGGGACCACACCTATCAGACTGTGCAATAATGCTTTCTCAGTCCCAGCGGGCAAATCAAAGAGTGTCAGTAGGTGGTGCTGTGGACACTTGTGTCTCCCAGAGAGACTGAGGAAGGAAGGGCGGGGGAGAAATGTAGGGAGCCGGTCCACACTCCTTTCCGGGGGGGGGGCCAATCCAAAGTCACATCATGCTGGGCACAGTGGCTTATGCCTGTAATCCCAGTGACTCTGGAGGCTGA